ATAGCGGGCATCCTTGTCTAGTTCCTGTTCTCAAGAGGAATGGTTTCAGTCTCTCTCCATTGAGGGTAATATTGGCTGTTGGTTTTGCATAAATGCCTTTTATTATGTTGAGGAATGTCCAACATGTGTGACTTTTAAAGAAGTTGTCCTTGATGGTGTGTGGAAATTAGACTACTGTAGGGGGATAAATGAGCATAGTGCCTAAAGCATTTGACTGCTAATCAAGAGGTTGGTGGTTCAAACCCACCAACTGCTCCATGGAAGGAAGACTGGGTAATCTACTCCATAAAGATTTACTGTGATAGAAACCTAAAGGGGGTCGCTGTGAATCAGAATCAACTTGATGGCAGAGAGTTTTTTGTTTTGTTTTTTTCTTTTTTGTAGGGGGATAAGGGTGGAAATAGGAAGTCCACTCTTGTGAAAGCATTCAGCAGTCTAGGCCAGAGAGGATTGCTGTTGGCTGGGCCCAGGCAGTAGCAGTAGAGATGGTCAGATTCTGAATATATTTTAAACGTAGAGCCAACAGGATATGCTGATGGATTGAACAGCAATGAAAGGGGTATGAGAGAAGCAGGAGTCAGGGAACCCACCCATTGCTGCTTAACTTGAGCAGTTGGTAGAATGATTGCCACTGAGGCAGGGAGGGCTGGGCAAGGAGCAGGTGTAGGGAAGATGATCAAGAGTTTGGTTTTGAGCTTACTAGGTTTGGGAGGCCTTGGGTGGTACAAATTGTTAATGGGCTTGCAGCTAACCGAGGAATTGGAGGTTCAGGTCTACCCAGAGGCACCTTGGAAGAAAGGCCTGGCCATCTACTTACATAAATTAGCCGTTGAAAACCCTGTGGAGCACATAGTTTCCATGAGTTGGAGTTGACTTGACAGCAACTGGTGTATTACTAGGTTGGAGATGCTTATTAGATATCTGAGTGGAGAACTTTCTAACTGGTCTCTGATAGTGCTTTTCCACTTCCTTTTTCTTCTTTTTCAGAGGTGACATTATCTTTCATTCCATAGGTTTGTTTTATAATTAAAATCATGAATGATTAACCCTCCAGATTTTTACTGACTCTTATTTATTTTTTTCTTGCCTTAGAGGGTCTCTGCTGATAGGGGGGTAAGTCACAGCTTGCCAAAATGTTTCCTTGTCTTTTCATTTGTCAGATACTCAAGTTGGATATCTCATGATAGAGCAGAGCAGGTGCTAGATGGAAAGAGAGAGAGAGAGAGAGAGAGAGACAAAGGTTCTCAAGGAGGCAATAATCTCAGGCTATGCAGGCATTGGGCCACCTCACAGATAGAGCCCTCCGTATCGTTACAGATGTTCCTCCTTACCATGCCTGAGGGTATAGTCCAGTGAGGGAATGGAAAATACATTCACATGAAAAGTTGTAGAGCAACATCCCTGCTCAACTTTCTTATTTTTTCTTCAGATTTGATCTCAGAATTAGAGATGTTCACATTTGCACAGTTGAATGACCTTTTGTCATCTGCATTTTCATCTCAGCTAGATGAAACAGAATAAGGGTGAATTAGCAGATTATGTGGGTAGGCTGGTTGAAAATAAACCTCTGTGGTAGAAATGAGCTATTCTTTGAACTAAATAGGAAAGCATGGTGCCAAGGAACTAGTTCTAATTTACTTGGAGAACTGGAGAAAGAAGTTTTAATATGGGAGGAGCCTGGTAGTGGTGGTAATGTGCCAAGGAGAAGTCCTGTGGAAATCAGGGTTCAGATGTTAGATGCCCTGGAGGAACATATGTGCTGATGAGAAGCCAGATTTGCAGGGAGGAGGACTGGCTTCATTGCCTGGGAATGGCTGCGAGGCTTGGAGTCTGCACTCAGTGTGGCTGAGGGGAACCTGATGAATGGCACAGCAAGTCTAGGCCCAGGGAACTCTGGGAAGGAGGGTTGAAGAGAGGTGGTGAGGGCCAGTGGAAGATAAATGGAAGAAAATGGACTTTCAGAGGGTACTGAGGGTGAGGTGAATTGTTGAAGGTAAGGTCAAGGAGGGAGTGAAACAATGATCTGCGAACTCAAGGCAGAGGATTGAGGTGCAGAGAACAGGCTTTTGCTTGGAAGGACCAGGTAGAATGTCAGGAATCTGATCTGGGCTTATTTGAATGCAAGCAACTCAGACTTCCCAAATGCATAAAAGAATTAGTAAGCCTATCTGAGAATGGCAGGTTTCCTGTTGATAGAATCAAAAGCAGAAGAATTGAGGTAAACAGATTAGGAGAGGTACAGACCTTGAGCAGATGCCTAAAGAAGTAAGTGAGAAGCACTAGATTAGTCCTAAGGAAACCACATGCCAGAAAATGTGGTCTCAACTCTGGTATTTTAGTTGGGATTTTGCTCAGTCTTTGAGTCGGAAGTAGGCATCCTGCTTATTTTTCTTTCCCCGCCTCAGAGACTGTCGTCTGCATCTTGCTAACGGAGGTGGCAGAGCAGTTGCCTAGCTAAAGAGATTTGTATTAGTGAAAGATGGAAATATTCTCAGTTCTTTGCTTTATTGCTTAGCCCGTGGGCTCAAAATCCCTTAAGTAAAGGGCACACTTTCAGGTTTAAAAGCCGTATGTGAACTATGGTAACCATTTCTCACATTCTATTTGTGGTGTATGTACTATTTCACTATAAAACTATTTTCCATAGATGACAGTGTCCTAGCATAGCAGGTCAAGTCTGGGAGGGCTTTCTTCTCTCCTTGACTGTTAACAAGGAGAATCTCGAGCCTTCTAGAGCTGCCCTGGCTGTAGGCACTGCTTCTGTGGGAAGGAATCAATGAATTCTGCTGGGCTTCCTGACAGAAACCCTGTGGGCTTCTGTCTGAGCAGAATACTAGATAATCAGGGTGTAAGTACTTGTTTAACCCTTAGCTTTATTCCTGTGGATTGGATTAAATTGTCAGCCTCAGCACTGATACTAGTGTTTTGCAAGCCTGGCTCAATAATTCCTGATTGTCATGGCTACCTGAAGGATTTGGGTCGATTTTGATAACAAAGAAATGGATGTGGCTGTCAGATCAACTTTTCTGTATTACGTGCATTATTCTAACCCCTTTCCTAGGAGTTATTAATCAGGTAAGCATCTTGGCCCTCAAAGTTATAAAACAGTCACTTTTGAAAAATACCAAGCAAGTATCAATTCAAGTTCATAGCTATCTACTTTCTCTTATTGTAGGTATTTTGCAAATGAACCATTTGCTGACTTCCACCGAGTGGAAGGATTACAAGGTGTGTACATTGCTACTCTGATTAATGGCTCTTTGAATGAGGAGAATATGAGATCAGTCATCACCTTTGACAAAGGAGGAACCTGGGAATTTCTTCAGGCTCCAGCCTTCACAGGATATGGAGAGAAAATCAACTGTGAGGTACAGATGCTTTAATCTTGTTTGGGCTTTTAATACAAGGAAAGCAGATACCATCTGCAATAGTTCACTATATCTAGTATTTACTGGAAAATGCATTCCATTAATATCACATGGAATAAACTTTTGACTGTAGTTCTATTCATGTGGTTCCCAAAGTGTGGACCAAGGCAAGGGTGCTATAGCAAACTCACAAGGGCACCATGGGCTATTTTAAAATTTTGAGGGAAACACTGTGATAGTCATATGTGTTGGACACTATGTGAGTTACTGGCTTGAGATAGTTCGTGGTTTTAATCTTACATCACGCTATATTCCTTCTCATGACAACACATCTTTGTGAAACTGGGTTTTCAGCAGTTGATGTGGAAAAGCAAGTGAGGAAATCAAGGTGGAACAGGAAATGAGGGTAGCAGTATTTAATATGGTTCCAAGGTTTGAGAAATTGTGCAGCGCCCAACAAGCGTACCCAGCCCATTTGTAAGTGATTGTGGTTATTTAAGAATGAAATGAAAATTATAATTTCTCTTTCAATTTATGTATATTAGTTTTTCAAAATGTTGCTAAGTTATTAGGACATGTATTGTTTGGTCTTAACTATACAGAAAGCAAATGTTGGTATTTCTTTTGGCCTGAGGGTGCCATAAACAATTCCTGAAATGTCAGTTGTATTGTGACCCAAGAAAGTTAGCCATAAGTTATTTCTATGGAACTTCTTTTTAAAATTTCTCTTTGAATATAATTCAGAGTTCTAAAATTTTCCCCACCTGTGGTCCCATCTGAAAAGATAAAAATACTAACATGTATTTTGTTGCCCTGTTAATCATGTTCTTTGGGAGAAGAATCTGTGGATTGTGGTTCCTGTCTTTATATAACATTCCACATCTCTCCTTCTGTTTCATCTAAGCCATCTAGGGCTTGTAAAGTAGGTAGACAGAACAAGCCATTCACATTTTCAGAGAAACTGTCACATTTTATTTAGATAATTACCTGGTCTTTTGAGGTTTTAATTTTGTTTATTCATGATAAAATATGTTGACTCTCCTATATGCCATATCAATAGCTCTTGGGGAAATTCTTTTGGAAACCTTTGCTCTAGAATACAGTGTTCTTGATTTTTCTTTCCTATTTGGCAACAGGTTTTGATTTATCACATCAAACCTATTTTTGGAAAGAGATAGAACATAAATATAGTCATGCGCCACATAATGTCTGTTCGAGCAACATCTGACTGTATTCATCTATGGTCCCAACCCCCATAAAACCTGTTAAAAATTTGAGGTATATACAGTGGTTTTTAATAGCAAATGAACACTGCTTTGTGATGTGCATCAAGACTTCATTGTTCTTATTTTACTGTATTATCATGTAAAGATGTTTTAGTGTATTTGGAAATGTTTAGTGTTTTTTATGCTAGAACAGTACATTATGTACTATATATTAAGACAGACATTTGACTAAATGATGTTAGATGTGAACCATACCTAACTGTTCTGACTTATGTACAAATTTGACTTAAAGACAGACTTCATAATCTGAAGACTGCCTGTATATGATAGAGTGTTGACATAACGTCCAAATCACTTAACATCCTACTTCATGTAATGTAATATATCGTGGACATTAAGTGATGCATAACAGTAGATACAGACAAATACCTACATGCTTCTACTTTGTTCAGTAGAGTCTTCTGTGCCACGGGAGCTCTTATGATCCTGGTGTGGAGAGGGTAGGGTGCTATTGAGCATAATGTGAGGGTTAAATATAATTAATGATGTTGTTAAAATACAGATTTTTGTTACCTTGGCAGGTCAGTTTATTTATGAATTATAAGACAGTTAATCAGTTTCTCGTTTGTACTTTGGATTTTAGGTGATAAAAGGAGTGATTGAAAAAAGAAATTGCTATTGAGTCAGTTCTGACTTAAGATAACCAACCTGTGTATTTCATAGTAGAACTATGCATGCTTCGTTGCATTTTCATGGCTGTGGCCTTTTGGAAGTAGATTGCCAGGCCTTCCTTCCCAGGCACCTCTGGATGGACTCAAATGGCCAACCTTTTGGTTAGCAGTTGACTGCTTAACTGTTTGCACTACCCAGGGACTAGACATGTTTAAAAATGATTGTGTGAGGAGACAGAAAAGCTTAAATGCACATACTTCCTTGCAGGCAAAGAAACCTTAGCCTGAAAAGGAGAATTAATGAATAAATATTTCATTGAGACCCAACCCAATTTACTCCAATTTTCATTTGCCAACTGTGAAGCTAGAAGATGGGTATTTATTAGAGAGATACTTTTGTGACAGAAATAAGTGTATCTAGGAAGCCCTGTCATAGTTATCACCTGTATCATAATACACTCAGAGTTCCCCCATCTAGACTGCTGGACACAGCCAAATAACAATTGACAGTTACTTTCTGGTTAATGGAATTATACATGGCCACAAAGCAAAAGGCCATGTCCTCACTGTTTGCAGAACTACTGAAAATCTGAACATAAGTGAGGGTGCCCAATTTGAGTAACTTGAAACCTTGCATTGAACTCCCATACCTCTATACATATGCACACTACTTGCCTACTTATTTAGTTATTTAATTATTATATTGTGATAAATGTGTAGGTAACAAAACCTTTGCCCTTTTAATAACCTTTATATGTACAGTACAGTGACATTAATTATGTTTACCACGCAGACTACTTTTTAAAAAAGTTAATGTGACTCTTTCAAAATGGTGGTATTTTGGTATTTGCATGTCATAGGCTGTTATCTGGGAGTTTATCAAAGAGACACTATGCCTTTTGATTCTAGTTTTACCTTCTGACAGAATTGTTTAAAACATATTTGAACTCCATCTGCACTGACTTAGAAAATACATACCAAGAACTCTTTTCATTTCCCTTTAGTTCTGAGTCACTTGAGAGGATTTTTGGGTGATAAAGAGAGAGTGATATTTTCCTATTTTACATCAGTTGTCACTGATTTCTAATTGTTATTCTTTGAGAGTTGGAGAAGGATTTATAATTATTATTATTTTTCTCTTCACTGGAAGACAATTATGTGGGTTCACATTATCATGTCCATCTGACGGAGTGTGGAGACAGTCGGGCTTTGAGTCTGGTTCCCCCTGGACCAGGTTTCCTTCCTTTGTGTCTAGCAGCCATATCCTCACATAAGCCTCAGTGTATAGAGGGAAACCTCTGCTCTGAATCATGTGCTGACCGTGTCCGGGATGTTTGTTCTGTAGCTTTCCCAGGGCTGTTCCCTCCACCTGGCCCAGCGCCTTAGTCAGCTGCTCAACTTCCAACTCCGGAGAATGCCCATCCTGTCCAAGGAGTCAGCTCCCGGTCTCATCATTGCCACTGGTGAGTTTGCTTTACGTAATCTCACTTTAGGGTGAAATCGTCTGGTTGTGTGCAGCCAGCAGAGTCACTACTGACATCTCCTGAGTAACCTGTTTGTAGCTGTGAGACTTTATTAGTTGTTACATGTGGTGGTGGTTAGCTGCTATTGAGTTGGCTCCCGACTCACAGCAACCCTTTGCACATGGAACAACATGCTGCCCAGTCCTTTACCATCCCCATGGTTGGTTGCCCATCAAACTATTTTGATCCCTACGGTTATCATTTGGAAGTAGATTGCCAGGCTTTCCTTCGTAGCCGGTCTTAGTCTTGAAGTACAGTTCAGCATTGCAGTCACATGCAAGCCTCCACTGACAGACAGTGGGGGCTGAGTGTGAGCTGCACTGGCTGGGAATCAAACCTGAGCCTCCTGCATGGAAAAAAAACTAAAACAAAAACCAAACTCACTGCTGTGGAGTCAGATCTGACTCATAGCGACCCCTCCTTGGGTTCTCAAGGTGGTATCTCTACGGAAGTAGATTGCCCAACCTTCCTTCCAAGGAGTGGCTGGTGGGTTTGAACTGCCAGCCTTCTGGTTAGCAGTCAAGTGCCTTAGGCACTATGCCGCCATGGGAGGTGAGAATCCTACCACTGAACCACTGCTGCCTCCATAGTTGTTACATAGTACTCTGAATTTCTAGTTGGGCAAGAGGATTATCTGACACATTCTTGACATTAAAAACAATCATTCCTCTTGGATTTTAGGTTCTGTGGGAAAGAACTTGGCAAGCAAGACGAATGTGTACATCTCTAGTAGTGCTGGAGCCAGGTGGCGAGAGGTTAGTGCTCACCCCCTGCCTTGGTTCTTGTTTGTATGAGAGCATGGACGTGTCTCCTCATTTCCAGGACATACGTGGACCATAGTAAAGAGGCCAGTGGTGCAAAGTATGACTGTAAAGGAAAGAGAGGTACCTGGAGCCGCATATGAGAGTCAGCTGCACCAATTTGTATTCATACTTTGTAATGTGGACTCATGATGCTGGCAAAATGTCACTTTAAATCACAAACAGACTTTTTATCTTTTTAAATGTGATTTTTATTAAATAATCCAAAGTTACAAGCTTCATGAGAGCAAAGACAATGTCTGTTTTGCTCACGTGTTTTACCTTCAGTACTTAACCGTGCCTGTCATGGAGTGGTTGCTCGTTAACATTTGCTGAATATAGTAGCAAATGACAGTGTATTTGCAGTGCTGTCAGAGCCTGAAACTTTTTTTTTTTAAATATTAATGAAGTTGAAGTCCTGCCTTTCATCACTGTGCTGTGGTATATAGCTTTATTCATCTTACTCTGTGTTATAGAAGATGACTCTGTTTTTGCCCTTAAGGTTGTATAACTGTTTGGCTTCTTAGGCACTGATTATACCAATTCTGAAGCTAGAACTGGTTCTCTAGTTCTGAAACACTAATGTGGCCTCAGACATTAGAGAATTCCCAAACTTGTAGAAAACGTTTTTTACTGGTCTCCTGTGACTTATTAATATTCTAAAGGAAGTACAACTGGTCTCATTATGGAGGGCCCAGTGATTAAAGCATTCGGCTGTTAAGCAAAAGGTCAGCGATTTGAACCCACCAGCCACTCTGTGCGACAAAGATGAGGCAGTGTGTTTCCGTAAAGGAAACCGTAAAGGTTACAGCCTTAGAAACTCTATAGAGCAGTTCTTCTCTGTCCCATAGGGACTCTGAGTCAGGGTTGCCTGGATGGCAGTGGGTTTACCTTCAGTGGTATACTTCTGCATGTGCAGGGAGTACCTGGGGTCAAATTCAACAGATCACACAATAAGAATTTTTTGAGCACCCCTGGCAGGCTGAGAACTATATTAGGAGTGATATGGAGTTCTCAAGAGAACTAGGAGATGACACCCTCATCATCATGGGACAAGAGTATGGACACGTTCATGTTTAAATGTGTGGCATGTAAAGCAGTGATTATGCCTGGCATTCATTTACTCTTTGCAGTTTACAGAGACCTGTCACATACCTTATCTCCTCTGTGGTAGATCTTACCATCCATCCCTCCAGAGTTAGATACTGTGTGTGTGTGTGTGTGAGAGAGAGAGAGAGACAGAGAGACAGACACAGAGAGAGACAGAGACACAGAGAGAGACACAGCGAGACACACAGAGACTGAGACAGAGTGAGTCAGAGAGAAACGGAGAGAGAAACAGAGAGATTGAAAACGAGAGTGTGAGTGAGAGAAAGGGAGAGGGAGAGGGAGTGAGAGGGAGAGGAAGTGAGAGAGGGAGTGAGAGGGAGAAGAGAGTGAGAGAGAGAGGGAGTGAAAGGGAGAGGAAGTGAGAGAGGGAGTGAGAGGGAGAAGAGAGTGAGAGAGAGAGGGAGTGAAAGGGAGAGGAAGTGAGAGAGGGAATGAGAGGGAGCGGGAGTGAGAGGGAGAGGGAGTGAAAGAGGGAGTGAGAGAGGGAGTGAGAAGGAGAGGGAGTGAGAGAGGGAGAGGGAGTGAGAGAGGGAGAGAGAGAGGGAGTGAAAGGGAGAAGGGAGTAAGGGAGAGGGAGTGAGAGAGGGGCAGTGAGTGAGAGGGGGAGGGGAAGATAGAGAGAGTATGAGAGAGTGAGAGGAAGTGAGAAGGAGAGAGGGAGAGTGTGAGAGAGTGAGTGAGAGAATGAGTGAGAGTGTGTGTGAGTGAGAGTAAGTAAGTGAGTGAGAGAGTGAGAGAGAGGGTGAGAGTGAGAGTTGAGAGAGAGAGGGTGAGAGTGAGAGAGAGAGAGAGAGAGTGAGAGAGAGAGAGAGAGAGAGAGAGAGAATTAAGGGCTATGCATTATGGTAGAGAACACAAGTATGCATTCAGATGAAGGAGGTTGCTGAAGGCCAGAGTAGTCAAAAAGTGTGAACAGTTTGAATTTTCCTATCCTTATCCTGCTTCTCTGGGAGACTAAGCAGCTGCTTTCTCTTCCTTGGAGTCGGATGTTCCTTTTGAAATTGGGTGTTCGCTCCTCTGCAGATAGGCTTGTGGTTTGTACCTTCTGATGTTGGTGTAATCTGGGATTTGGACATCTGCAAGCGATTTCCTTCTGGATCGAAATAGCGTCTTGTTCTTCCTCCAGTGAAGGGGGATCATAGGGGGATACCGGGCAGCTGTCAGTGCCTCCCTCCATGCACACTCACTGCCTGCCAAGAAACAGCCACTGCACAAGGGACCTTATTTTTGGAAGCACTTTGTCAGTGTGGAGAAGTTCCATGTTATTTTGAGTTTGTTGAGAGTTTTTAATCACAATTAGGTGTTGATTTTTGCCAAATGGTATTTCTACATCTATGAAAATGATGTAGACTTTCTTTTTATTCTGTTAATATGGTGTGGTGGTGTGGTGGTTAGATTTCTGTGTCAACTTGGCTAGGTCTTGTTGAGTGGCTGGGCAGCTGAATGTAGAATTCCCCATGATGAGACTGGTAATCAACTCCATGGTGGAATCTACTGTGAGCAGCTAAGTAGCTGCCTTTGGGATGTGGTTTGCTTCCCTTATATAAATAGCGGTTTTGGGAATGGTCTCTAGTATATGGCATGCTTGGACCCTGCATGTAGCCACATCATTATTCAGCAGCCTACCACGCTCTGCTGACCTTAGGACTTACAATGGACTTGAATTAATGGCTTGTCGTGTGGTTTGGTAACATTGGGACTGTGCCATTTTTTTGGTTGAACTTGGGCTTGTTAGCCTCAGCAGCTAGTAGCTGCCTGAGTGAAGAGATGCCTCTAGCTTCAGTGGGCTGGGAGCAAGAGGCAGAGCTGAAGCCCAAGGTCGAGGGGCTTTCACACAGCCCCTAGAGCCTGGCACTTTGAACTTGGACTTAAAGCCTCCAGATTGTGAGAGAATAAACTCCTGTGTGCCAAGGCCACCCCATTTGTGGTATATTCTTGTCAGAGTGGCTCTAGGTAACTAGAACACATGGTATGTTATATTAACTGTTTTTTTTTATTGTGATATATGTGTGTATGTAAAAACATTTACCCTTTCAGTAATCTTCACATGCTTAGTTTAGTGACATTAATTATAGTCATCATGTTATCCAACAATCACCCTTATCCATTCCCAGAATTTCTACTGACCTTCAACAGAAGCTCAGTGTCCCCTAAGCATTGAGTCCTCTTTCCTCCTCTCTCCCTCTCTCCTCGTAGTAACCAATGAGCTTTGGTGTCTATACCCTTGCCTATTTTAGATATTTCATATAAGAGAGACCATATAGCATTTATTCTTTAATAACTGACTTATTTCACTTAGCATAATGTTTTCAGGGTTCCTCCATATTACAGCACACATCACGACTTCATTTCTCTTTATGGCTGTATAATATTCCATTGTATATATATACCACATTTTTATTTATCCAGTTACCTATTGACAGAATTTAGTTCTTTCCACATTTTGAGTATTGTGAATAGTGCTACAATGAACATTAATGTACAAATATCTTTGTTCCTGCTTTCAATTATTTTGGGTATGTATTTAGGAGTGGTGATTGCTAATTGCTGAATCATGATATTTCTATATTTAACTTTTTGAGGAACTTCCAAACTGTTTTCCACAGCCATTCATTGTTTTTTGAATATTAAACCAAACTTGCATTACAGGATAAACTACTTGGTCATGATATATTATATTTTTATTTATAGTAGAGTTTGATTTGCTAATACTTTAAGGATTTTTGCATTATTCATCAGAGACAGGTTTTTTTTTTTTTTTTTTATAATTTCCTTGTCAAGTTTTGGTATTAAGGGTAGGCTGGTATCATAAAACAAGCTGAGCAGGGATCCTTCCTCGTTTATTTCCTAACCAAATTTGTGCAATAGTTGGTATTATATTTTCACCAGTGAAAAACTTTGGACTTACTGTTTTCTTCTTGGAATTTTTTTGGTAACAGATTCAATTTCTCTGGCTGCTATAAAACTAGTCAGATTTTCCACTTCTTGTGTAAATGAGTCGGATATTTAAAAAGAAATTGTACTTTCATTTAGGTTGTTAAATATGTTGGTGAAAACTTATTTGTGGTATTTTCATATTATCTTTTTAAACTCTGTAGCATCTGTAGATGTTACATTTTTATTCCTGATATTGTTGATATGTGTTGTTTTTCTTTTTTTCTTGATTAGTTAGTAGCTTGTCAATATTGTTGATCTTTCTAAGGAACCTGCTTTTTGCTTTGCTAATCTTCTCTACTATTTTCTATTTCATTGATTTTTAGTCCTCGTTATGTTTTTTCCCTTTCAGATTATTTTGGATTTACTTTACCCTTCTTTCTGTAGCTTAAGATAGAATCTTATGTCATTGATTTTAGCTATTTTTCTAATATAAGCATTTCTGATTTACACTTTTAAAGCCACAGATTTAGGTATGTTATATTTTTGTTATTCAGATAAGAATAATTTTTAATGTTACTTTTTTGAAAATTAAGGTATAATTTGCAAAACTAAAAAGTTACCATTTTAAACTGTACACTTCATTGGATTCTAGTATATTCACAAGACTGTGCTAGTCATCGCCTCTATCTAATTCCAAGACAGTTTCATCACTCCACAATATCCCTTTTGATTTTTGAGTGTCACCGATAAGTCATTTAGAAAAATGTTATTGAATTATCAAGTATTTGGAGCTTTCATAAATATCTTCTTCTTACTGATTTCTAATTTAATTCCCTTGTAGGCAGAGAATATCTGTTGAATCATTTCAATCTCTGTATGTATTTTGAGGGTGGTCTGGTGGCACAGTGCCTAAGGCATTTGATTCCTAACCAGAAGGTTGGTGGTTCAAACCCACCAGCCACTCCATG